TTAAAAGCTAAACTTGTAAACAGTTTAGAGTGCAAGAAAATCATGTCATTACCTTGATACAAGGATTTCAATGGTTTTCCCATTCCTTTAAATATTTGTTTATACATCTCCTGTGGTGAAGGCATTAATTATAACAAATATTACATTACAGATCCTCAACTGGTTGTGTTAGAGCTTGACATTAAATGCCCATCTGCAGCCTCCCCCCCCCCCCTTTTTCAGACTTGTGAGACATGATGCTCTGAATTAGTTGATATTTTCAAAAAATTAAATAAAATATCATATAAAACAATATCAATTTAGTCTTAACAACTTAATCTATATCAAATTAATATTAAAAATAAAAGGCTGGCCATCAAATGATATATCCTATAAACTGACAAGCAGTTCTTCTGTCTAATTCCCAAAGAACACAAATAAGAGCTTTTTTCTGCTTTGTTGTGCAATAAAAATGCATCTATATTTTTGTCATTCTGAAATTAAATTTGAAAACAAAGATTTTTTTTTTAATTTGTTACAAAGATTTATAAAAAGAAACAAAAATTTTGAGTAATCTCGATGCGACATTTTTTAATAAGGTTCCTGCATTACTCTTAGATTTTTAGGGACTATCTACCATAATTATAACATTTTTTTAAAAACTTGATTTTTTTTTTAGATTTATATAAAGTCAGACTGGTTTTAAGCTGCAATTCATACGGACAACGGGCATGCTGATTCCAATATCACCCCCCCCTCCTGAGTATAATTAGTTTTAATTATATTATACAATATCAAATTAGTTTATTTATTATACAATATCAAATAAGTTTGAATTACTTTTCACTAAACTCATTTTAAAAGTTGGGCTAGCCAACTATTTAATCCAACAGGCTGATTCTTTTTGCCCAGTTCCCAAGAGATATAGATAACACCTGCTTGATCAGAGATGCTCTATCTGTTAGCTCCTCACACTAAACTCATTAATTTCTCTCTAATTTGACATGCAATATTTGTTATCAAATTCTCCTTGACCAGTGCTTGATAATTACATCCATGGGAGAGGTGGAATTTCTCTTGTAACATTACATTTGTTATAGATTGCTGTAAAGTATATAATGAAAAAAATAAGTATTTTCTTGATTTAACTTTTTTTTTAATAAGGATACTGCAACACTCTTGCATTTTTTGGGATTATGTAATCTAATAGTAAAAAGACATTTTTTTTTATTTCACTTAAATTAAAGGTCACAGTGACCTTGAAATAGATTGCGACATACCTTCTACCTAAGATGCATAAATTGGCCAAGTTTGATGATTCCAAGTCCAATAGTTTTCTAGTTATGAGCCAGACAGGATTTTTCCATATTTGGTCATAGCATCTTCATTAAAGGTCAGAGCGACTTACTTTAAATGTGCGACACACCTTCTACCCAAGAAGTATCAGCTTACAAAGTTTAATAATCCTAGGCCTAATAGTATTAAAGTTATGAGCCGGACACGAAAAAAGCTAACAGACGGACAGATGGACGGACATGAACGCCATAACATAATACATCCCATCTAAAGACGGGCGTATAAAAACCATTTCATAACTAGTAGACTAATTATTCTCGAACATTAAGAGGTCTTTCCACCTTCTTTAAATTTTATCTTTTTTGATTTTTCATTCTCTATAGTTAAATTTTGAATAAAAAGAAACCAGAAATGGCTTGAGAGAAGTAAAAAATGAAAAATTTTAAATTTTTGAAATGACCTTGACCCTTGTCTTTGATCAAATATTCAAGGTCAAAGATCAAGAGTTACATTGCACTTGACCCCATGCTTCTACGACTTTTAGTTGTAAACTTATAAGGTTTAATAGTAAGCGCAAAGACGTTAAAGGGCGATAACTCATTTAAGGGGTCATCAGATCCTTTCCCACTGAATAGATTGAAGTTGTGTCTAAAGACCCGTAAGACATTAGGCCAAAATTTAAAAAAATGTTTGTTTGCCCTTTTCCGACTCAGATTTTTAACAGTGGGTAGGTAAGTAGGAAAAATATTTTTTTTCCTGAAAATTATACAAAGAAGCATAACTGCCAAAATGCTCATTTGAGTCACTTTTAATATTGCTGCTCTTCAAAAGGTTGTTTTTGAAAGATTTTTCTACATTGAAAAATTGTGGGTCCACCTAGACTTAAGGACTCATGACATAACCAAATTAAAATCTAACCTACATTGGGATTCTGAATATTAGTATGACTAATGTGGCCTTGCTTTTGTAAAAGAAAAATGTTCGACAATGATTTTCCCCTAAATGCACGATTGTACATGGGTAGAAGGGCACTTTTTGCTGCAATAAGAAAAAGGAATAGACATGTTTTCTGTTGCATGCTTAAAATTTATAAGGCCTTGAGGTGGTTTATTTACTTTTTGTCTGCTTGTATTAATTTGTGTAAAAAAAAAATCAAGGGGAGTGGGGATGGGTGGGTGAGTTAGAAATTAGAAACAATAGGCCCATGGGCCACAACGCTCACCTGAGTAACTTTGGCCCTGCTGTTCTTCACCTGATTTCCTACGTTGTCATACCTTTTGTGGTCCCCCCTACCTCATCCCCGTGGTCATGATGTGAACAATTTAGAATCTACACTACCCCAAGATGCTTCCACATAAGTTTCAGCTTTTCTAGCCCAGTAGTTTTTGAGAAGATTTTTTAATGACCCCACCCAATTTTTGTCTTTTCTTGATTATCTCCCCTTTGAAGGAGACTTGGCCCTTATTTTAACAATTTTTACTCCCCTTCACCCAAGGATGTTTTGTACCAAGTTTGGTTAAAATTAGCCCAGTGGTTCTTGAGAAGAAGTTGAAAATGTGAAAAGTTTACAGACGGACGGACAACAGGTGATCAGAAAAGCTCACTAGAGCTTTCAGCTCAGGTGAGCTAAAATTGTAAAGGGCATTGTTTTCTATGGAAAATGATATATCAAGTGAAAACTCATCATATCGAAAAATTTAAAAATTTATATGAAAAAAATTGCATAAATCCTATTGAGAACTTCTTTCTGGTGTAGAAACATTGAACGTGCGGGTATCAAGTTTAAAGTTTGAACATCATTTACTGTATTTGACTTGATACTCTGTGTTTCCAAGCCCATTTCTCATCCAACATTTAAGTTTTATTACATTTATGTAAGTTGACTAAATGTATCTGAAGGTAAAATCAGCAGCCTTGTTTGCCGCTTTTCCTCATCAACGATGTTTTTTCTACTTTTGGTTTTAAAAAGCACCTCCGATTTTGATAATTATTTTAAATTTATTTTATAATAATTTATGTCTGATGTCTTTTACATTCTCAGTCATTATTTTCTATCCCCTATTACTGCTTTTGTCAGCTGTGAGCGTTCAAGTGAGAAGTGATTTCCTGTACACCTTTCACACCCTGAATTCACACCTTTGCATACATTAAAATCTAAGGCGATATTGCCGCATGTACTGAATAAACAAAATAGCTATTCTAGAATTAACATATATTTCACCAATTACAGTCTATTTTTAACGCTTCATGTACTAATCAAAGCATCTAAATGACTTTAAAGAAGTTTTTAACAAGATTAAAACAAACTGGTTTGAAATTATTTAGATAAAAAAAATTGTAAATGAAGAGCAATGAAATAGTTTGAGTCGGGCTAATTTTTGTGGGTCGGTTGGCTGAGGGCAAACAATCAATATTTTAATTTAGGCCTTAGTGAAGGTTTGGTGTCTCTGCAGTTTACGGTTTTGGAGGAGTAGAGTGAAAGGGGCGATAACTTTTCAAGGTGTCAAGCTTAGGGGATAAGAATAAAATCTTTGAAATAGCTTTAAGATGACATATTATAGATGTAATGATATATAGTATATGTTGAAAGACAAAGGAGCTACAAAAAGAGCTAAATTTCTCATATTTTGAATGACCTTGACCTTATTTTTTTAAGAGGTATGGTCAAAGAATCTAATGCAGTTGGTTTCATGTCTTTAAGACTTATTGTTTTGAAAATTTTCGATTCTTTGTAAAAATTTAAAACTTTGAGGGGCAATAAATCATTGAAGGTGTCGATGAATACTTTTGCAATGAATAGATTGAAAAGTCTCCTAAATTAGTCAAAGACATTAGTGAAGGTTTCATATCTCTACGGTTTACGTTTCAAAGGAGTAGGGATAACAAGCTTTTATTGCAAAAGGGGATGTAACTCCTTGAAGGGTCAAAGTTCATATACGCAGGGACAACAGCAAAAATCTTTTACGGAGTACATTCTCATGAACTATGAATCTTTTCGATAAATCTTGTAACTCAAAATCACATGGCGGAAAAATAATAAAAAAAAAAAAATAAGAAACAGAAGAAAATCTACAGAAAGGTTGAAAGACCTCATTAGTCAGAATTTTACAGGCACTATAAAGCAGTTTATAAACTTCTTTTTCTCAGCTAAAAATCTCAAAATTGTTGAAAATCTTGAAAAAAAAAAAACCTTTGGTGTATCCTTAAAGACAACAAAATTTTTAAATTGTGCATTCTGCTATTGTAAAAAAAAACATCACAAATGAAGTCAACTTAACTATAGGATGTCAAAGTAGTGTAGATACCATTATGGAAAATGTATATTTATTTATATGCATTGTTGTGCCTAAATTACATGTATTCCTTACCAACATTCATCTATAGCAGAATGATTTTATGGTAACTGGATTTTTATCATGCAATAGAAACTCTGAGAAATTTTATTATACTACTCTTAATCCAACTACAGTAACTACTTTTTTTTTTAAATTGCTCTAACAACAATAGGAATACTGGTATTGTAGATTTTTTTAGTTTTAAGTAACATGAATGCTTGGGTCTGACCTCAGGTGTTAAGTTTTATTTTCAGTTTGCCTACATGTGTACACATCAAAACAATCAAACAAGAATTTGTTTAGGTAAAAAGGTCCTTGTCACCAACTTAATGCAATTATCTGTACTAATTTCAACTTCTATTTACTGCCATTTGAACTATAAAAACTTACCTACAAAGTCATTGAGGAGAGCCTCATAATCTTTCATTATCAATCTGTGTAAATGAAATAAAAAAAGTGTTAGAAGTATTTCCCATAAATAAACATTGCACAGACTTAAAAACTTACCGTTTCATACAAGGTTCATAAACAGCGATGAATCTTTAACTTAACGAGGTTCGCTCCTGAGCTTTTGAGCAGATTTTTATCTTAACCTATATTTCAAAAATTCTCCATAATATTTTAATTCTTACAATAAATTTGGATTCTACAATGCCAATTTAACCCTATTCAGTTAAAACTCCATGATTAAATTCCATACCAAAAGCATTAAGTGAGGAACTATATTTTGTGGCGGGAGGTTTTTTAGAAGAAAATGATCATTTTTTCTCTTTCGAAGTATCTAAAGTATGTTTAGTTTGGATTCCTATTTTTACATGCAGTCTGCACACATAGTTATTTTTTTTGCAGTGGACTGTTTTATACTGGTCCTAAATTATCTATTAAATAAACTGTCATGAATTCTGTCATCATATTTGATAAATATAGCAAATATATTGTGAAAATGAAGAAAAAAATAGCCCTAATTTAAGCTTAAAATTAGCACTATTTTAGTAATATCTAAAAATTAACATCACAGACCCCCACTTTTAATTTTCTTTTCTGAATATATACGATACTTTTAACCATTCTTCTTAAATTCAGTGAAATGTTATTACTTTCAAATGATTTTTTTGCTTTTTAAATTTTTAATGCCAGAAAAAAGAAAATGTTTGAGTGCAAAAAGGTCAAATAATTGAACATGTGGAGTAATTTGAAAATTTCTTCGTTGTCACAAATTTTAATGTGTCTATTTAAGATAAAATAAGACTGTATTTGTTCCCATAATTTAATTGATAAAAAAATATTGAAGGAAAAACTTAAAAATTGATTTATGTGTAAGATGTATTTTCAGTGCAAAAAGGTCAAACTAAATGCTCTGTAGCGCCAAAAGAAGCGCATTGACCCCCATTTTTTGTTTTGATTTTTAATAAAGCTATGTGTATAAATTCTAAAAATATACTTGATAAAAAATTTTCATTACTTTTGATGACAGGATCCAACCTCCTTAAGAAGGATTTGAATAGGAATTACAATGGAAGAATTAATCAGATTTTATTGAACTACATTACATATGCCATTTGCTCCACCTTGTACAAAAATTATTATTTTTCATTCAAAATTTCACAATAATGTCCAAATTGTGATAAAAAAAAATTATGAAGGTATATAAAAGTGATTGCCTAAAAGAAAGAATTTAGAACATCATAAAAAATTTACAATTTCTAAATATTTTAGAAATTTTATATTTGCCTCATTCACAACCACAATAGGTCTAAAAAATATTATATACAAATCCAGGCATCCCTTTTTTGGTTTGTATCATCTGTCCTTTAAAAATAAAATTACAGTACGTACATCAGTTCGTTAACCTTGTCCTCTGCATTGGTCTGTATTTTGGTCCTCATTTTCACCCTCAACTCCAGCTGTTTACTTCTTTTCTCCTCCTCTGCTAACTTCTGACTCCATTCTTTTTGATTTTTCAGTAATATACCTTGGAATGTCAGGGCCAACCTTTGCTTGATCTGAGATATGTCTGCCTCTGTATATTGCAAAACCTATGCAAGAAATGCATGAATGTGCTTTTTTTTACCTGGCTTTTCAAAGGTCAAATAAATACAAAAAAAAATTTCCAATTCACACAAAATCATCTTAAAATAATTTAAAGATCAATTACCAGTAACACCACACAAGTATACCCAACAAAACACACAGTATATTCTTTAACAATTTATAGAAAAACTGAACAAACCCTCCACTCCAATAAATGCAAAATGCAATAACAATGAAACTGAAGCTTATTAAACATTTTCCTATTGACGCAGTCATTACATCAATATCCCTGGAAACAAATACTGAATTTACAAACTGTAGTCACGATTTATATAATGACACTTGTTCAAAAATACTAACTAGATGTACATATATATATATGCCTTGGCTTGTCATGCGACCTACCTCATCATCTCCCTCTGTCTGATTTAGAGACAAGGTATACTTGATCACATCTGTAACTTCCTGTGAGAGTAAAATTAAACATAGGTAATCAAAGATTACGAAGCTCACCTCGACGTATGTTATCTATAAGTAAGGCATATTTCACATCATATTTTTTTTCTAGTTAGGGAACATCCCAAGATCAATATCCTTGCAAGTTTGGTTTAAGTACGACTTGTAGTTACTTGGAAATAGACCTGCTCAAAAAACTTTTAACCTGTTTAGTAATCAAGAAAATTTTGGTAAGTTCCAACATCCAAAGCAAGTCTGGAAGTTTTCATCCTTAGATGCACCATCTATGCAAGTTTAATCATAACAGGCCATAATATTATATAGCTACACCAAAAAAACTACCCTGGTCACTCATTTGGATAATGTATGTCAGATTCAGAATCCAAAGCAAGTTTGGTAGTGTCTATTCCTAGATACATCATCCATGCTAATTTGGTTAAAATATGGCTAAAATTCACTCATGTAGAAAATCTAGGTCAGATCCAGCATCCAAAGCAGGTTGGTTAGTGTCCATCCCTAGATGCATCATCCATGAAAGTTTGGTTCAGGAAGGGCGTATAGTTACTTGGGAATGGGACTGCTCCAAAATCTAAACCTGGTCTCACATGTGGAAAATCTAGGTCAGATCCAGCATCGGAAGCAAGTGTGGTAGTGTCCATCCTTTGTATGCATCATCCATGCAAAGTTGATCAAGGTAGGACTTATAGTTACTTGGGAATGGACCTGCTCCAAAAACTTTAACCTGGTCATTCATCTGGAAAATTAAGGTCAGATTTAGCATCCGATGCAAGTGTAGTAGTGTACATTCCTAGATACATCATCCATGCAAGTTTGGTCCAGGTAGGGCTTATAGATACTTGGGAATGGACCTGCTCCAAAAACTTTAACCTGGTCACTCATCTGGAAAATCGAGGTCAGATCCAGCATCCGAAGTAAGTGCGGTAGTGTCTATTCCTAGATGCATCATCCATGCAAGTTTGGTCCAGGTAGGGCTAATAGTTACTTGGGAATGGGACTTGCTCCTAAAACTTTAACCGGGACGCTGACGCGAACGCCGACACCGAGGCCGGGGGTATAGCATAAGCTCATCTCGACTTCGTCGAGGTGAGCTAAAAATCCTTTTAGTATAGCTTGACGTTAGATCTATATTCAAGAAACATGAGAAATGTTAAAAAAAAAATTATTGAATGCAAAAAAAATTTTCTCACAAAAACAGCAAATTGTATGAGCAAAAATTAAACGAGGCATGTACATATATACAGAAAATAGCATTTACTCAAAAAAAAATTTCAATTAAGCACTTGCATCTTTTACCAAAATTTTTATTTCAAAATATTTTATGGAAGATTAAACAACATGTACCGTCCTGCCCTCGGGTATATCTGAGCACAGAAAGTCATTAGAGGTGACTGATGTCTGGTTCTTCACCACCGGCACCATGTGGCTCTGACCGGGACGAGGCGTCCCCATCAAAAGCATGCTCTCTTCTGGCTCACTTATTAAATAATCAGAAACAATAAGTTTGCTGTTTTTTAAATATGCATTAATATGGATAAGATATGACATAATTCCTCTGAAGTCTAAACAATGCGTGTCTTGAGGCATTTCTAATTACTGATCCCCTAATGTTAAATCTATATTTTGCTGAAATAGTTTAAATACATAATACAGCTGAACTTCAGCATCTCAAACACTGACATCTCAAATACTTTATATGCATGTATGTCAAAGTTTTAAGTCCAATAACATTTTCTTTACAAATTTCAACGTCAACTCCTCAATCTTCAAATCCTTAAATATCACAGTTTTTGCTTCTTTCCAATCAAGTTCAAGATAAAAAGCTTTGACTGTTGTAATGAACATGAATTTCTTATGTAATAAACTTGAAGTTATACTCACAGCTGTCCGAGTCTAGAGTCAAAAGCAACTCCTCGCTTCTTTCTCCTTACATCAATACTGGCTCGACGGGGATCTGGCAAAAAAAAACAGGATGCAGAAGAGCGTGCCAGCATCTTAAAATTTCAAATTCTGAACACTTTAATATATATTCTTTGGAGGAAAGGGAAACAAATTCCTTTGAAAGCAAACGAGGAAACAAGAGGCCCATGAGCCACACCGTTCACCTGAGCACATTGGCTAGGAAAAAGCACAAATCACTTCAGTATTGAAAAGTTTAAAGGGGGGGGGGGGCTTGGATTTTGAACTATCTGAGGATGCTACCATATCAATATAAAAAATGGCTTTGCTGTTCTTGAGCTGAAGATTTTCAAAGATTTTTTTCCTATATATTCCCTTGTTAAAAATTTGATCCCCCATTGTGGACCCTCCCCCCCCCCCCCCATCATTTGAACAAACTTGAATCTACACTATCTGAGGATGCTTCCATATGACTAAACATGGCTTTCCTGTTGACGAAAAGATTTTTTCCTATATATTCCTATGTAAAAATTTGATCCCACATTGTGGCCCCATCCTACCCCGAGGGGTCATGATTTGAACAAACTTGAATCTACACTACCTGAAGATGCTTCCATATCAATATGACAAAACATGGCTTTGCTGTACCTGAGAAGAAGATTTTTCAATTTTTTCCCAATATATTCCTATGTAAAACTGTGATCCCCCATTGTGGCCCCACCCTACCCCCAGGGGTCATGATTTGAACAAACTTGAATCTACACTACCTGAGGATGCTTCCATATCAGTATGACAAAACATGACTTTGCTGTTCTTGAGAAGAAGATTTTTCAAGTTTTTTCCTATATATTCCTATGTAAAACTTTGATCCCCAATTGTGGCTCCACCCTAACCCTGGGGATCATGATTTGAACAAAGTTAAATCTATACTATCTGAGAATGCTTCCATATCAATATGACTTAACAAGGCTTTGCTGTTCTTGAGAAGATTTTTCAAGTTTTTTTTTTCTGTATATTCCTATGTGAAACTTTGATCGCCCATTGTGGCCCCACCCTACCCCAGGGATCATGATTGGATACAAACTTGAATCTGAACTACCTGAGGATGAATCAACATCAATTAGACTAATTGTGACTTTGTTGTTCTTGAGAAAAAGATTTTTTAAGATTTTTCCTATATATTTCTATGTAAAATTTTGATCCCCCATTGTGGCCCCACCCTACCCCTGGGGGTCATGATTTGAACAAACTTGAATCTGCACTACCTGAGGATGATTTCACATCAATATGACTAATTGTCGCTTTGTTGTTCTTGAAAAGAAGATTTTTTAAAGATTTTTTTCCTAAATATTCCTATGTAAAACTTTAATTCCCCATTGTGGCCCCATCCTACCCCCAGGGGTCATGATTTGAACAAATTTGAATCTGCACTACCTGAGGATGATTCCATATCAATATGTCTAATTGTGGCTCTTTTGTTCTTGAGGAAAAGATTTTTAAAGATTTTTTCTATATATTCCTTTGAAAAACTTTGATCCCTCATTGTGGCCCTACCCTACCCCTGGGGGTCATGATTTGAACAAATTTGAATCTACACTACCTGAGGATGATTCCATATCAAAATGACTAATTGTGGCTTAGTTGTTCCTGAGGAGAAGATTTCTAAAGATTTATTCCTATATATTTCTATGTAAAACTTTGATCCCCCATTGTGAATCCATCCTACCCCAGGGGGTCATGATTTGAACAAACTGGAATCTACATGATATAATGAAGGTCTCACATAAGTTTCAACTTTTACAGCGCAGTGGTTCTTGAGAAGAAGGTTTTTAAAAGATACCAACAAATTTTCACTAATTATTATCTACCCTTGAAAGAGGATGTGGCCCTTCATTTGAACAAACTTGAATCCCCTTTACAAAAGGATGCCTTTTGGCAAGTTTGGTTGAAATTGGCCCAGTGGTTCTGGAGAAGAAGTCAAAAATGTGAAAAGTTTACAGATGGACGGACAAACAGACGGACGAACGGACGGACAGACGGACGACGGATAAAATGTGATCAGAAAAGCTCACTTGAGCCATTGGCTCAGGTGAGCTAAAAACTACAACAAAGGCATTAAAGTTGAATTATCAATAATTTTCTATGACCACAATTAGCATGATTAGTAAAACAGATAAATATTACTGCACTTAAATAAGAGCAATAAACTAGAAACTCATTGCGAGCAATGAGAGGTCTTCCGTCCGATTTTGAAAGTAAAAACGTAAATTCAAGCTGAAAAGGTGATAAAAGAAATTCAGACACTTTGGAGATTTAACCCTGGTTGTCAGGTTGAAAATCCAACGTGCTAACCATTGACCATTCACTTTTTTGCATCACTTCCTGTCACGACCAGAAGTAACGGCGATACAAGATTTCCTCGCAATTCAAATAAACTGATGAATGACTATCAGTTCTGAAAGTTTTAGACTTCAGTCGTTTACTGTTGCCGAGCAATATTGTGAGAACAAATTATAATTCTGAGGACAGGTAAACACGCGACCGGAAGTGAATTTTATAAAAAATCTCTGACGTTTTTCTATACATTTGCAGTATCTACAAAATGCATAAAAACATTTCAAGTACTTTATCGATAAGCAATATTTATGAGAAGGTTAAATATCGAAGTAACGTAGCTTATCACCTAAAACCGGAATTTGACGTTTTTGTTTCCGGTGGAATCTAACATATTTCAAAACAGCGAAAGAGATGCAATAAAGTGATGCAAACTTTAATTTAAAAAAGAAAAGTTAAAATTTTTTATTTCTTTGATCACTTCCTGTGACGACCGGAAGTTACGACAGACGCGTTTAACCAAAATGGTTTTGCCTACTCCTCAAGGTCTGCTACTCATAAGAATTTGGTGTTTTAATCTTTTACCTGTTTTTGAGATCTCGCTCAGACAATTTTTCATTTTGAGGACAGAAAAACACGCGACCGGAAGTGAATTTTTTAAAGATATTTAAGTTTTCTCTAGACCTTTGCAGTCTGAATAACATATTTAAAATTCATTTCAAATACCTTATCTATAAAGAATATTTATAGGAAAGTAAAATACTCAAATTTTGTAGTTTTTCTCTTATAACCGGAAGTTGTCGTTTTTGTTTCCGGTGGGACCAACATCTTTCGAATCTGCGAAAAAGATGCAATAAAGTGATGCAATCTTTAAATAAAAAAAGAAAAGTTGAAATTTTCGATTTCTTTGATCACTTCCTGTGACGACCGGAAGTGACGGCTGACGCTCTGAACCCAAGTGGTTTTTGCTACATCTTAAGGTCTGTTGCTCGTATAAGTCTGGTGTCTTAATCTCTTACCGTTTCCGAGATCTTGCTCAGACTTCTCATTTTGAGGACAGAAAAACACGCGACCGGAAGTGAATTTTTGAAAGATATTTGAGGTTACTCTAGACATTAGCTGTCTGAATAACATGTTTAAAATTCATTCCAAATACTTTATCTACAATAGATATTAATGGGAAAGAAAAATACTCAAATTATGTCGTTTTTCTCTTATAACCGGAAGTTGACGTTTTTGTTTCCGGTGGGACCAACATATTTCAAAACTACAAAAGAGATGCAATAAAATGATGTAAGAATTGATTTAAAAAAGGAAAGTTGAAATTTAACGATTTCTTTGATCACTTCCGTAAGCGACCGGAAGTGCTGACGACAGACGAAAAGGTGCCCTCTCCAATCTAAAAGTCAAGTTCTATCATCTCTAACAAGTCTCCAGTTAATATCTTAAGCCATTCTCGAGAACACTCGCGGACAAAATTTCATTTTAAAATCAGAAAATTGTCCATAACTTGGCACTGGAACCGAGTTTACCAAAAAACGGAATTTTATATAAAATTCATATAAAGACCTTTTATCCCTGAAAATTTCAAGGAAATTCGTTGAATAGTTTTGGAGAAATCGCGTGCACAAAATTTTGTCTAAAAAAAAAAGAATAATAATAATAATAATAATAATAAAAAGAAACAATAGAATCACTATAAGGTCTTCCGTGGAGACGGAAGACCTTAATAATGACTTCAATCAGTTGATTCTATGTACCTGCTACAGGGAGGTCCACCAAAGGATCAAACTTTACATACAGTGACATCCTTGATAGGGCTGATTCTGCTATCTGTAATATGAACTCGTTCAGTTTAGACTTGGATAAGATTGTAAGTTGTAAATTTTGAAGATTTTTTACACCTACATTTAAATGATGGCATATTTCCTCTAATGTCACCATTACATCATTCTGTCTTTAAAAAAATGTATTGCATTTGCTTCATCTACAAAAGTATCACTTTGTTTTCCAATTGCCAATAGCTTCCAAATTGCTTTTTTTTCCTGAGCCAAGATGCAGTGATCAATCCACAGATGATAAAACTCACCCCCTTATTGCTGCCTAACTGTTCCAAGATGTCTAAGTCAGCAGGATCACTAAACACTGAAAAAAAAATTTAATCTATTTTTTTAAAAAAAAAAAAAAACAAAACAAAACAAAACATACATGCATGTCAACAGATTGACAGGAATAATATGCAAGTCCACATAAATGTTTTATCATTCACTGGAAAATGTTAAACTGATTTCAATACAAAATATACTGCATGATTGTACTAATTCTATCAGAAAAACTCCTCCTTACAAGTAGAACTGGCTGGCTTAAAGTCGTCATCACTCAATCCATTTAACTCACTCATATTGGTGAGGGGGCAGCTCTTTTTGGGAATCTTTTTCTACAATAAACGTCATATTGTTATAATGACTATCCCTAAACTTTTTTAAATAAGAACTTCTTTGAAGCACTAAGTGAATGTGCACTTGACTGCCATAATGGATAAGGACGTCTGCATGAGTTGGTCTGTAATTTAAGATGTTGTAAGGAAATTTTTTCAGAAATTTTGATTTCGTTCTTGATTTGCCAGTAATCAGTTACATGTATTTGGGTTTTTTTTTACATTCTGCTTTCAATGTTTAGCCTCAACATTACTTTTTATATTCCCTAATAGATATAGCCAGGATCTGGCAGATCATAGGTGCACGTACTTTTTCAAAGTCATAAACTTTTGGTGAATTTAAGCAGATTGATAAGCAGATATTTATGTTAGGAACCCAGGAAGAAATGGTGTATATAAAGGTGTGATTGCATTGCCGATTTGTCTTCTTAGCAACTTTATGAGTACTAAATAAAGTCAAAATGAAACAATATTGTACACCTTCATGAAAATTCGAAAATATGAGCAAAAATTAAACGAGGCATGTACATATATACAGAAAATAGCATTTACTCAAAAAAAAATTTCAATTAAGCACTTGCATCTTTTACCAAAATTTTTATTTCAAAATATTTTATGGAAGATTAAACAACATGTACCGTCCTGCCCTCGGGTATATCTGAGCACAGAAAGTCATTAGAGGTGACTGATGTCTGGTTCTTCACCACCGGCACCATGTGGCTCTGACCGGGACGAGGCGTCCCCATCAAAAGCATGCTTTCTTCTGGCTCACTTATTAAATAATCAGAAACAATAAGTTTGCTGTTTTTTAAATATGCATTAATATGGATAAGATATGACATAATTCTTCTGAAGTCTAAACAATGCGTGTCTTGAGGCATTTCTAATTACTGATCCCCTAATGTTAAATCTATATTTTGCTGAAATAGTTTAAATACATAATACAGCTGAACTTCAGCATCTCAAACACTGACATCTCAAATATTTTATATATACTAGTGACTCTTGATGGCTCGAACTCTGATCTCTCGAAGTGAACCTCCGGTCCCGTTTTTTTCCTCTATATAACTAAGCAATTTTCCTCCTAATCTCTCGAACTACCTATCTCTTGAAGTTCTCTATTTCCCGAACCAAGACCTGGGCCCCGTTATACATATATCATTGTTTTTTACTCTCTGTATCTCGAAGTTTTGATTGCGCTTGTATACACGTCAATCAAGCGTAAAATTAATGCAGCTTGGACTTACCTGGATAACAGTGAACGCCTGGGGCTGGGATGGACGTGTTAATTGGGTGTTTACATAGATGATAATTCACCTGTGAGTCGTCCGAGTGTTTGTATAATTAATTGGTTAATTGGTAAATTATAAACAAATAGCTTCACAACTTACTTTGACTAGATAATTTTGAGAAAATAATTTAGGGACGTGTCCTTAATTCTCCAAAGATTATGAACTTTAAGATTATTAGAGTTTACACAATCCCAGTTTGGCAAACATTGCACAAGAAATCCCATTTCAAGAAATGTATACCGATTACGAGCAATCTCGTGAAGGACCGATCAAGCCTGCGCCAGGGATATAGCCGAATCGGCAATTGCTATTCAGGTTTCACGTAATCATGAAATGAGAACAAATAAATATTTAAACTCAAAATAATCATTTTATTTACTGAAAATAATTAATTGTTGTTGAAATCAAGTGAATTACCTCTAAATTTCGAATGAATACGTGTACTGACATTATCAACTTTTACTTCCTGTATGTATAATAGTAGAGCTATGATGATCGGAACTGAAAATTCCAGATTTTATTCACTTTCTATCTCTCGAACCCCCCGATCTCTCGAACTTTTCTTATGGTCCCTTGAACTTCGAGAGATTGAGAGTCACCTGTATGTCAAAGTTTTTAAGTCCAATGACATTTTCTTTACAAATTTCAACGTCAACTCCTCAATCCTCAAATCCTTAAATATCACAGTTTTTGCTTCTTTCCAATCAAGTTCAAGATAAAAAGCTTTGACTGTTGTAATGAACATGAATTTCTTATGTAATAAACTTGTAGTTATACTCACAGCTGTCCGAGTCTAGAGTCAAAAGTAACTCCTCGCTTCTTTCTCCTAACGTCAATACGGGCTCGACGGGGATCTGGCAAAAAACAAGATGCAGTAGAGCGTGCCAGCATCTTAAAATTTCAAATTCTGAACACTTTAACATATATTCTTTGGAAGAAAGGGAAACAAATTCCTTTGAAAGTAAACGAGAAAACAAAAGGCCCATGGGCCACATCGCTCACCTGAGCACATTGGCTAGGAAAAAGCACAAATCACTTCAGTATTGAAAAGTTTAAAAGGCGGACTTGGATTTAGAACTACCTGAGGATGCTTCCATATCAATATAATAAATGGCTTTGCTGTTCTTGAGCAGAAGATTTTTAAAGATTTTTTTCTTATATATTCCCTCGTTAAAAATTTGATCCCCCATTGTGGACCCTCCCCCCCCCCCCCATCATTCGAACAAACTTGAATCTACACTATCTGAGGATGCTTGCATATCAATATGACTAAACATGGCTTTCATGCTGATGAAAAGATTTTTTCCTATATATTCCTATGTAAACCTATGATCCCACATTGTGGCCCCACCCTACCCCTGGGGGTTATGATTTGAACAAACTTGAATCTACACTACCTGAAGATGCTTCCATATCAATATGACAAAACATGGCTTTGCTGTTCCTGAGAAGAAGATTTTTCAATTTTTTCCCTATATATTCCTATGTAAAACTGTGATCCCCCATTGTGACCCCACCCTACCCCCAGGGGTCATGATTTGAACAAACTTGAATCTACACTACCTGAGGATGCTTCCATTTCAGTATGACAAAACATGACTCTGCTGTTCTTGAGAAGAAGATTTTTCAAGTTTTTTCCTATATATTCCTATGTAAAACTTTGATCCCCAATTGTGGCTCCACCCTAACCCTGGGGATCATGATTTGAACAAAGTTAAATCTATACTATCTGAGAATGCTTCCATATCAATATGACTTAACAAGGCTTTGCTGTTCTTGAGAAGATTTTTTTTCAATTTTTTTCCTGTATATTCTTATGTAAAACTTTGATCACCCATTGTGGCCCCACCCTACCCCAGGGATCATGATTGGATACAAACTTGAGTCTGCACTACCTGAGGATGATTCCACATCAATTGTGACTTTTTTGTTCTTGAGCAAAGATTTTTCAAGATTTTTTTCTATATATTTCTATGTAAAATTTTGATCCCCCATTGTGGCCCCACCCTACCCCTGGGGGTCATAATTTGAACAAACTTGAATCTACACTACCTGAGGATGATTCCATATCAATATGCCTAATTGTGGCTTTGTTGTTCTTGAGGAAAAGATTTTTAAAGATTTTTTCTATATATTACTATGAAAAACTTTGATCCCTCATTGTGGCCCTACCCTACCCCTGGGGTCATGATTTGAACAAATTTGAATCTACACTACCTGAGGATGATTCCATATCAAAATGACTAATTGTGGCTTAGTTGTTCTTGAGGAAAAGATTTCAAAAGATTTGTTCCTATATATTCCTATGTAAAACTTTGATCCCCCATCGTGGACCCATCCTACCCCAGGGGGTCATGATTTGAACAAACTTGAATTTGCACTATGTAATGAAGGTCTTACATAAGTTTCAACTTTTACAGCGCAGTGGTTCTTGAGAAGATTTTTAAAAGATACCAACAAATTTTCACTAATTCTTAATTATCTCCCCTTGAAAGAGGATGTGGCCCTTCATTTGAACAAACTTGAATTCCCTTTACAAAAGGATGCTTTTTGGCAAGTTTGGTTGAAATTGGCCCAGTGGTTCTGGAGAAGAAGTCGAAAATGTGAAAAGTTTACAGACGGACGGACAGACGGACAGCTAGACAGACGGACGGACGGACAACGGACAAAATGTGATCAGAAAAGCTCACTTGAGCCGAAGGCTCAAGTTAGCTAAAAACTACAAAAGGCATTAAAGTTGAATTATCAATAATTTTCTATGACCATAATTAGCATGATTAGTAAAACAGATACAGATGGTTTACAGATGGACGGACAGACGGACAGCTAGACAGACGGACGGACGGACAACGAACAAAATGTGATCAGAAAAGCTTACTTGAGCCGAAGGCTCAAGTGAGCTAAAAACTACAAAAGGCATTAAAGTTGAATTATCAATAATTTTCTATGACCATAATTAGCATGATTAGTAAAACAGATACAGATGGTTTACAGATGGACGGACAGACGGACAGCTAGACAGACGGACGGACGGACAACGAACAAAATGTGATCAGAAAAGCTCACTTGAGCCGAAGGCTCAAGTGAGCTAAAAACTACAAAAGGCATTAAAGTTGAATTATCAATAATTTTCTATGACCATAATTAGCATGATTAGTAAAACAGATAAAAATTACTACACTTAAATAAGAGCAATAAATAATGACTTCAATCAGTTGATTCTATGTACCTGCTACAGGGAGGTCCACCAAAGGATCAAACTTATCATACAGTGACATCCTTGATAGGGCTGATTCTGCTATCTGTAATATGAACTCGTTCAGTTTAGACTTGGATAAGATTGTAAGTTGTAAATTTTGAAGATTTTTTACACCTACATTTAAATGATGGCTTATTTCCTCTAATGTCACCATTACATCATTCTGTCTTTTAAAAAAACCTATTGCATTTGCTTCATCTACAAAAATATCACTTTGTTTTCCAATTGCCAATAGCTTCCAAATTTCTTTTTTTTCTAAGCCAAGATGCAGTGATCAATCCACAGGTGGATAAAACTCACCCCCTTATTGCTGCCTAACTGTTCCAAGATGTCTAAGTCAGCAGGATCACTAAACACTGAAAAAAAATTTAATCTATTTTTTTTTAAAAAAAAAAAAAAACATACATGCATGTCAACAGATTGACAGGAATAATATGCAAGTCCACATAAATGTTTTATCATTCATTGGAAAATGTTAAACTGATTTCAATACAAAATATACTGCATGATTGTACTAATTCTATCAGAAAACTCCTCCTTACAAGTAGAACTGGCTGGCTTAAAGCCGTCATCACTCAATCCATTTAACTCACTCATATCGGTGAAGGGGCCGCTCTTTTTGGGAATCTTTTTCTACAATAAACGTCATATTGTTATAATGACTTTCCCTAAACTTTTTTAAATAAGAACTTCTTTGAAGCACTAAGTGAATGTGCACTTGACTGCCATAATGGATAAGGACGTCTGCTTGAGTTTGTCTGTAATTTAAGATGTTGTAAGGAAATTTTTTTCAGAAATTTTGATTTCGTTCTTGATTTGCCAGTAATCAGTTCAGGTATTTGTTTTTGTTTTTTTTTTTACATTCTGCTTTCAATGTTTAGCCTCAACATTACTTTTTATATATTCCCTAATAGATATAGTCAGGATCTGGCAGATCATACGTGCACATACTTTTTCAAAGTCATAAACTTTTGGTGAATTTAAGCAGATTGATAAGCAGATATTTATGTTAGGAACCCAGGAAGAAATGGTGTATGTAAAGGTGTGCTTGCATTGCCGATTTGTCTGCTTAGCAACTTTATGAGGACTAAATAAAGTCAAAATGAAACAATATTGTACACCTTCATGAAAATTTGTTTAAACTTGAGATTGATATACGATCTTTTCTAATTTTGAGTTGTTAAATTATTTATTAAAATTGGAATTATAGCTGAAAAATTACGGGTCACTCAGTTATTTTTATTATTATTTTTTTCAATTACACAAGTGCTGTGGATATTTTATTCCTACAATATATGAAATGAAGTGATGATTTCTAATTGTGTACAATATAGAGGTGTGTCGGAATTACGCAGAAAGTCTAGAGAGGTCAGACTTTATCTCTTTGCATAATTATAATGATGTTAAAGAAAATGAAAACTAGAAGTGAGTGCTGCTCATAACTGCGAACTACACTGTACCTCTTAAAAGAACACCGGGGCGAAGAGTAATTTTGGATTGTGCACATTGCTCCAAATGTACTTTGTTTCATAATAATTTCCACAATTTAACACACACCCCCACCCCCCATAACTGCGGTATTTTTTTTTACGATAAACAGAGTAAACTAAAACTTGCTAAAAAATTAATTTAACACTCTCTGTGAAAGAGCAACCTATATACAATGTCATCTGATGCTGATATTTCGAACCTTCAAATAATTATATCCTCACAGGGTTCTCACTAGGATTTTGCTAACTTGAGTCCCAGGACTCAAGATTTCTGAGAAGCTTGCGTCCCAGCTAAATTTGGTGCGTCCTAGAAAAATTATGTTGAGTCCCCCAACTGAATTATTGCAGTATCCTTCCATCCAAACATAAATAAAAATCTTTTATTATTTTAACAGTTTGTTTATGCAGTATTAACATATTCAAATATATAAACTGGTAATGCATCCAATCCATATTCTAAAATACACGTGTAATCAATTGCCATAAAAATAACTTGTTGTTTATAAAGCTAAAATTAACTGTTGCATAATCAATTAGTACCCGAAAGTTGACTGTATATAATCACAGGTGTCATGTGCAATGAGGCGTAACTAATCCTGTCTGCACTGGGTGAAATTTACGAGATAATCAAACCGCATTGTGTATACAAACAGTAATTATGATTTCTAGATAAAACTCAAGATTCAAAAGTGTTTCTAAAAAAAAAGCTGCAGTGTGTTTACAGCTATCGGAGTTTGGTATGCGACACTAAATTATGACTATGCACTGATAAACATGAAATATCTTATAATCAATCCCTGTTTTAAAAAAATAGAAATAGGTACAAGAAAAGTTGTGTCTTGGATAAACTTTATGATAGTTATAGGAAGGTTTCGATTAAATATTTAATCTAAGATCTAAAATCTCCAGTTTTCGAAAGCACCCAAATTTCTCGCTAACGAGGACGCGTCCACTCATGAGTCCGCAGAAGCATCTTTTTTAAGAACCTTGAGTCCCAAATAATTTTGCTTGCGTTAATGAGAACCCTGATCCTCATGCGGCTTGATGTTATAGTTTTATTTTAACGTAAAAATGTATCAAACAACTGTGCTCATCGCAGTGCAGTCACACTGTCAATGCCAATACAACAAGCAATTTAAATTAAAAATAATTCTGATGTAATTTCAAATTTCAAACAAAGCTTAGCGCTTTCCCGTACTTTCAGTACTTTGATTAAGGAATAAGGATAGGTGTCAGAATGCCCGTTTTCAGGGTTGTGGGTACATATGCCGTGTGCAATATAGCATTAATAATATTGGTAAGCACTGGGGTTATCTAGTCAATGCCATTTTGAGATGTTCTGCTGTAAGACCTGATATATCTGCCACTTTGTTATTTTTAAGGTTTTTAATAATATTTCTTATTTTTTCCTCCAATATCTTTTCTATAGACGAATTTCAGTCATAAGAGCTATCTCCCATTGTCGGCGTAACTCTGATTTTTCTCACTATAACCTTTGTAACTTAATTACCTGTAAATATTTTCAACCTTTAAGGAGGCTGGGGGGTCAACAAATTAACCACCAGATTTAACTTAATTTTTTAGATATGATATCTTAAGCTGTCAACTATCATTTGGCAAAAAAAAATTCCAAAAATTTTAGTTTTAAAATTTGATCATTTTCTATATCTTCATATGGAGCTCTTCTTCTAAAGGAGATCAATATAGTCTAAAAATGGCCACAACCCCCCAGCCTCTTTAAACGCTATCTGACAATAGATAGTTTTCATTTGACGTATTTTCTCTCCGAGTTATTTCCCTTGGCCGCCATCTTGGTGGTCAATCTGGTAATTTTTCCTCTTTGTCTTACCAAATTTAAGAGGGTGTAGCAGAAATATTTTGGGAAAAATCTTTATAGAATAAAAATTATGAAATAAAGTTGGCTTTAACAAATGTATATTTTTTAGAAAAAACAATGCTCCCTACCCCACAATGGCCAGTATAAAAAGTTAAAGTTAATTGGCTGAATAATGAAGGAATATGAGCATGTTGACCTCCAATATGGCGGCCAACTGGAAATAACTCTTGTTTATTTAGGCCTACTGAAAACTATCTACTTTGATCCGTTCTTGCATTGTCATAGTAATATGGGACGACATAAAAAAACATAGAAAACATATTTATACAGATTTCATTTGTAAGACATTGCCCCATGAAGTTGCTAATGGTATAGAGGGAATAATAGAATCATTCATTACTACGAGTGTGGGATAGTGAAGTTCCACCAAGGGGACAAGATTCAGGGTCTAGGACGAGGCTTTGCCGAGTCCTAGACCGTGAATCTTGGCCCCGAGGTGGAATTTCACTATTCCCACACGAGAATGTAATGAATGATTATTTTTCTCGCATTATTTTATCCAAAATACGGCCTGTCAATGACGTCGCCATGATAGGGTTAAAAATATATTCTTTTAATTTTCCATCTACTTAAAAATCTAAATACACCATCAGAGAGAGCGTACCTGAAAATCTGATAAAATGAATTTCAGTCCATGTAAATTAATTAGATAGATAAAAACTGGGAATATAAAAAAATATCTATCCGATAGCGTACACATTCATTCAAGAAGAATCCTTCCGCGATCTAAAAATAGTGCCATTTAAAAGTGAAACTACGACAATATTTTGAATGAAAATAAGTTTATCTTAATAAGTTAAATGACAACATTTTAAGTATATGTAATATTTTTTAACATTGTTACAATTTCTTTATATAAAGACGGAATGTTTACGTTATCGTTCGCGGCGTAGTAATACACAGTGTAAGACAAAAAAATCTCACACTGCTGTCTCACACCGGACAAGTCAATCATGCGAGAAAACAGTGTCTTGCGCCGGTTGACCCCATATTGACCCCGCAAAGGGAAATAACATTTGTAAATGTGAAAATCGCCTATTTGTGTTCTGTTGGCTTTGCATACTTTCAATTATAAGCAGATTTTGGTGTATTGCATGTTTAAAGTCTTCATCAAAGTTTTCTTTTCCTTTGGTCTTGCAAGATTCTCGAAATGCATCTGCCATCCCACAATTATATTATCATTGTAGTAGTGTGTGAGCTGATTTATTTTAAACAGATTATAAAATAAATTTAATTTAAAACATTTATCTATTACAGTTATGCAACTTCATTACATGAGACAGACTTGGATTAAAGCCGTAAAGTACGGGAAAAAGTAACATTAAATTAATTATGACGTCATAATGGATCTAGCACCAAAAAGACAGACTAAACTCATTTACTCGATATGACATCATACGACGTAGGTTCTACGTTAAGTCATGTGATTTTTTTTATCATGAAGCTCTATTGAATGATATTAGTATTTTTCAAATTGAGTCTGGAAGATCAGTTTGGTCATTCAGTTCTTATGATATATTGATCTTGGACTTTTATTCATAAAAGGTCAGTTGATTTTAATATTATACATTCATTTGATGAATAGTAAAAGTGAATGTGTGAATCATTTTATATAAATTAATTAGCAAAGAGTATATGATATTTATTATTATTCAGATCTACCTAATATATGTGATGTAGCTGGACTGCTGTATATATAACTTAAGGGTCTGTTACCATATATTGGGTAAGATATGTGATGTATATGTTTGTGTAATGTGAGTCTGTATAATATGTATTTACATTCCATTGTTATGTGAATCATAACGTGAACCATTTTTATTTCATCAATAGTAGTGATTTACATTTGAATTGCTGCTGTCGTATTTTAATTCACTGAAGTTTATAAGAATTACAGACCTGTTTACCCATAATGTTGTCTCTCAGTATTTATTATTAGATTTGTCAGTGAGATTTGGCATTTGCCCGTAAGAGATTTAACATCTATTACTTGAAAACAACTGCATTTTTGATTACCAAAACATGGTTTATTAACAAAGATAAACATACCTCGCTTTCTTTCGAGGGGTTTCTGTCATTTTTTTTAACCCTCTGGCTTCGGGAAGGACATATATGTCCTTTTACCGTTCGCTGCGGGAGGGACATATATGTCCCTGGCGACGTCATAAATGTTGCGTGATTTCTCTCTAGTTTTATTGAGATTTTCTTTA